GCCCGGGCACTCATGTTACAAGGTGTAGATGTACTCGCTGACGCTGTTGGTGTGACGCTAGGACCTAAGGTAAGAATATTGCATCATGGGATAATGTGCAAGCGTTGACATGGTTGATGAATGCTAGATTGTTATTCCCTGCATTCAAGCTTGCATCTTCACTGGTGTTTCGTACAATGCCAAGACAGATCACATTTGAACTTCCTACATGCATCTTGTCAATATGTGCATGTTGATTTGTTCCATGATCTTGATAATCGTTGTTGGCATCGTAGTTTCATGTTTTTGTCAAAATGGCATTTGACCAAGTATAGAACTGACATAATTGCAAAATGTTGTTCGGTGTGTGAAACGAATGAACTGCAAGACAATGAAGCTTACTTCAACCTTAAGTGTTTCTTCACTGCGGGTGTTCAATAACTTGTATTCTAAGGAATAAGCCACATCCACGAACATCTTAAATATGGCTTTTACTGTTCTAGTTTTGTTTTGTGTTAGTTTCATTTATTCGAACCATTTCTTTGATTTTTCCATTGTGTCAAGTTCATAATCATAAGATGAATGCACTTTGTTACAGGGACGAAATGTGATTTTGGAACAGAGCTGGGGAAGTCCCAAGATTACTAAAGATGGAGTCACAGTAGCTAAGGGAATTGAACTGAAAGACAAATACATGAATATTGGTGCTAAATTGGTACAAGATGTTGCAAATAACACGAATGAAGAGGCTGGCGATGGCACCACTACAGCTACTATATTGGCCAGATCCATTGCCAAGGAAGGATTTGAAAAAATTAATAAAGGGGCCAACCCTATTGAAATTAGAAGAGGTATGTCTAAATCCGAACACTATTATAATTGTGCTTCTAAAATCCCTTAATTTTCTAACATTTGAGTAGAATACATCTATGTATATTGCTGTTTTTGCTGATGAATAAAATTTGCCAAATTAAATCCATGTGAACATAAAATAATAATAGAACTCATTTTTTTCCAGTTTTAAATTTATGAATTTCAAAACTCTGTGAAATCACTCAAGAGTGAAATTAAATGACAAAGAAAATAATCTTAAAGTACC